AAAACTGTTTACTTTGATCACTTACAGCCTGTAGCCCTGCAATTTATTTTAACAATGTTTTGACAGTTCCTGTCTGCAAAACTCCTACAAAATATTCTAAGTATTCTTAATTTGATTTTCCTCTTGTAATTTCAAAAACGTAACATACTTCAGTTGTATGTGACTTGTTCAGAATACACAATTTATCAAGCTTCTATGTTACTTAACTATAGTTTTAGAATATTTCAAAGAAATATACTTCCCTATACTTTATGTAATTCCTTCAAAACTAAACCCCATAAAGGCCAAAAGAGCAAAAAGGCTGCCACAGAAGACAATGATATAAAAGAACATTAAGACAAGGCAAAAAATGCCCAAGGGATGAAGGAAATCAGTGAAGAGAAAATATAGCTAGGTTTAAGTGCCAGGTCCTCGCTGATGACAAAGTACTTTTTTGATCTTGATCTGCCACAGCTAAAATTAAAAAAAAAAAAAAAAATCATAATTTTTAAAGCAAACTTTGTGATCAACACAGAGACTTTATATAAAATGCCAAATATGTGATCTAAAAAAGCAAAGAAATAGAATGAGCAATTGTTCCAAAACACAGCAATTCAATGACTTTTCCTCTTATGGACACTCTATTTCCAGATGAGAAATTTGTAATTGCTGAATGTGCACTTTACCAATATATATGAAACAATATTTTTTAAAAATATTGCTTACATAGAAAATATAAATCATAAGTCAGCAGAGTGAAACACATGGCAAAGGTCACACAGTAGAAAGCAAGCTCCAAGGTCAACAAACCATCTTCCTTAAATACTTCAAGTTGTAACTCCCAAATCCAAAAAAGAACGGTGATTCCACCATGACATTTGGTAGAAGAGGGTTTCCATTTTGGCTTTGGGAGGTGAGGAGAGAGGGAGGGAGTAAGAAAGAGATGGGCAAGCCTAGAATTTTCCTTCAGTTGCATTTCCAATGCACCCAAATTTCACTGTGTTAATGTAAACTAGCATACTTTGGCCATTTATTTTATCAGTAGTATTCACTGCCAATATTGTCATCAGCAAAAAAAGAAAGCTATGAAGCTGAATTTTCTATTTAAATCATTTGTTCAATAGGTTTTCTTCTGATGTATATTCTATTAACAGTTTATAATCTTGTCAAAGTTTATACAATAAGATCAGGCTTCTCAATTCTGTATCTTATCTCTAAGTCAATCTATCTTTACTCAGAAAATCACAGTTAACTTCTCCAAAAAAGGTGCTGAGTACTATTTTACTCTGCAAAAAGAAACAGAAAAGTATGTATCTGCTTCATAAAGATTCAAGTTAACGCCAGTTTAATACAAACATCAGTTAACTGTCATCCAAAACTAAAGTTGTTTCAGGTTATAATTTTAATTATATGGAAATGATGAAGACTGTGATTTTATAAAAATTCACTGTAGAATTAGAATCTAATTAAAGCCAAATCAGAATGTAATTTCAGATAAATGTTAAATCTTACAATATTGGGATATATATGGGTTAAATATTAGAAATGTTATGTTACTTCAGACAAATTTTAATTGTGTTTAAACATAAGGTGAAACCTGCCAGACTAAATCAGTGTATAGTAGAAACCAATAGTGTATATAGTGTGTGTGTGTGTGTGTATATATATCTATATATATATATGATGAAGGTAACATGGAAGCTGGCTAAAATTTATAACGAAGAAGGAACTAGTAAGAATATAGCAACCTGGTTGAAATTGATATTCATTAGGGTACTCTTCACATCAATAGGGAGCATTTGGACTCTGTGGTCTTTATCAGTGTCCCAGCTGGTAATGGTTGAAGGTTAATGTCTTACCCCATTCTGTTCAATTTTCTATCCTAATTAGCCCTCCAAATCTATAGCTGTGAGCACCAAGTGTCTGTGCTCAAAAGAAACTAATTAATGCTAGCAAATTAGATCAAGTCCAAAGATCCAACAGCCAAACTCTTAGTTAAATGCTCCTTGTTAATAGGAAGTGTAGCTGTCAATAACTGCTGTTGGTGACTATAATGAGGCATCTTTCTTTCATTGAAAGTGATTTCATTTCTCTTTGTCCCTGCAAAAGCTGTTCCACTACCTTCACAAACCTAAGTTGCTGGCAGTATGACCCAATTCTTATGATCAGTTGGGTTGAAATGACATGAAATAAAAATCAAAGAGAAAAGCTTTCCTGCACAATGTTTCAGGCATTTAGCAGAAAGTCAGATAGCTTATTAAAAGTCCGGGGTCTTTATCAAGGAACTATATAATTAGCGTATATAATGCTTTTAGACAATGTCCTATAATTATTTAATAAAGGAAAGACTATAAATAGTCAATAAACTATAATGGATGTATCCTGATTCTAAATTACACCTTACTATTCAGTTTAAATATAGCTGTTGTGCTTGAGCAATACCAATATATGTTCTTTCCTAGTTTACATGGTTAAAAAGGAGAATACAAGATTCTGCTTTTATAAAATAATCAATTTCAGATTCTAAGACACTGTTTTGGACCATCTGGCCTAAAAAAAAATCAATATATGATTACCTATAAAAAATACAAATATTCAAAAATCAATCATTATAACATGTTCTAATAAGAACAGATGCACTGAAATGGATCTCAAATTTTAAGATGCTTTCAGTCTTCCTAAGATTTTAAGTATGTTAATAAGACAAAAACTAACATTCTAAACTTAACTCTTGATTAAAAGTGAAATTGAAACATTTTCTTTCTGTTCTATTACAAAGTAGTAGTTGTACAAAACATCCAAATAAATATTTTAAAGTCATTCTATATTTCTCTCATCTCAAAAACCAAAAACTCTGTTTCACTAAGAGTAAGCAAAGGCAGTTCTGAAATCCAAATCTATATAAATCATTCTACATTTTCCTCTGAATCACATGAGTAAGAACTCAATTTATAATTGAGTGAGCTAAATTTCTTTCACTGTAGATACCTCAACAGTCAATTACAAAATAGCATAATATAACATATTTATAGCTTTAGATCAATATTTTACTAACAAGTATTTTTCCCAGTAGTGAAAGTTAACTTTATCATTCATATTAAAGTTTTATTTTCCCGCACCTAGATCAGGCTATAGTTTTAAAGTTCTAGGAAGCAGGTGGAAGATTATCTTCTGCGACTACCAACATGACACCTGCCAATGCCAGATGTGCACTGAACCATGCCTGTAGGTGTCATTGGGTTAATTTCTCCAGACACCTGGGAGTGGCATTATAAGGAAGGAAGGTACTGATTAAATAATTCAGAGTGAAAGGAATAATACTAATAAATTATGGATAATTTATTAATACATTTATTTATGGATGGATTTAATTTAAATCTAATTTGTTGATGGACTTAAAACTGAAGTAGGGGCCTCCCTGGTGGTACAGGTTTTAAAGACAGCACTATCAAGCTATCACCAGCCACTGCAGCATGAGTTTGATTCTTGGCCTGCCAGGGAGCAACCCACATGGCACAGCAGACCACTCCTGCCTCGCCCACTGCTCGTCTCAGCAGTGTATTTCAGTACATCTGCCTGTTCTGCTCCCCACTCTCTCTGGTAAATCCTCTCACCCCTGCACCTCTGGCTTATATCCCAGTTCTTGTATGCATAAATAAGTCAATCTTTTTAAAAAAAACTGAAGTAGGTCATAAGAGTCATTTAAGAAACACAAATGACCAACACACAATGTCAAGTCTGGGGAACTACACTTTTTTCATTGCCTCCATTTGTCAATTGCAATGGGTCTCTAAAGAGACAACATCAAAGGGAAATTTTCCTGGCATTAAAATGTCACTGACATGCTCCCAAACTGCAGTTGACCAGCTGGTTCCTCCCTGAGAAAGATGGAGTCGAACTGCAGCCATCCTCCTCACTAAGAAACACTGTGGTCGAGGCCTCCCTAGTGGTGCAGGGGTTAAAGACAGTGCTATCAAGCAATCGGTAGCCACTTCAGCACGAGTTCGATGCCTGGCCAGGGAGCTACCTACATGGCTCAGCAGACCTCTCCAGTCGCGCCTGCTGCTCCTCTCAGCAGTATATTTCAGCAGATACTCCTGTTCTGGTGAATCCTCTCCCCGCCCCCACACCTCTGGCCTGTACCCCAGTTCTTGAATGCATAAATAAATCTTTAAGAAAAACAGAAAAAGAAACACTGAACACTGTGGTCCCTCAATGAGGACAACTACGGGAGAAAGTGAAGAAGGGGAGTCAGGGAAATAGTCTGAGATAGTGAAATTGTATTACTATTTCTTTTAGATGGCTATTTTAGACTTTAAGTCTCTTAAAAAAAGGTATTTCTACAGTAAAACTGCCATCACTCTGAGCATCATTTCTTACCTTCCATTTCTTTGTTTACATTTTTCACTATGTTACAATACTCAACAATATATCCCTAGATTTATAGAATACAGGCACATTCATGTTATAGAATGTTTTCCAAAGAAAACATACATATGTGGGTGCCTAGGGCATGTCTTTATCTAAACATCTTCCACTTAGGAACATAATACATAAAACAATAAAAAATAAACCAGACTCAGTGCATGTACTATTAGAATTTTATTAACAATTTAGCAATAGATAGTGACAACAAAGAAAATCACCTAAGAACATATATATGAATATGTTTATAGATGAAAATAGGACTATGTTATATTTTATGTTCCTTCTTTTCCTATCAAATCACCAAAATAACCAGTTTCTCCAAAATACTCTTACAAGTTTTTCTCTACATGTAACTGCACTTCTGGGGGAAAAAAGTGTTTTTTCCTGGTAATTTAGAAGAATATTTTTAAATTGTAAATGAATTGAACATTGTCTTTAAGTTCTGAAAGCTGAAATACTGGTATCTCAGCGAAAGGGTGAGAAGAAATTCATACATATTAATTCACTGACTATTTGACTCTGAGGCTAAGGATTAAATTCAGATCATATTATAAAAAATGGATTTGATCTCTATATGAATATTTGAATCTTACCTTGAACTTGTTCAGAACATCTCTCTCGGGCCTTTTCTCTCATTATTTTAGGGATCAGAACATCTTTTTCAACATGCCTGAGATGCTGTTCTGAAAAAAAAAAAAATCTTTAATATAGTAAAGTCTCAAGTGAATCACCAGTTTAGGGGTAAAATAAACACTCTGGGGTTTACTGAAACTAAAAGGGTAAGCAAATATACTAAAAACTGACTCTTTCACAATCATAATCATAAAATTGTGATTAGTCACAGAAAATCATTCTAAATATTTTTTTTATCTACAACAGAAAAAAACCTGAGGGACATAGACAATATCTTTCCAAAAATTTATATGAACTATCTTGCAACACTTTGACAGTATATTTCATGTAGTCTTGTCAAAACTGAAGCTATGGACTAAAATATCATCACTTTTCTTGTTAATATAATCCACAAAAAGAGGATTTTTAATCATAATGAGATCCAAGGACACATGATGAGATACAAGATTAAGAGACACATGCAGAGCTCCTTACCTTAGCAATAAGAGTAAATAAGAAAGAAAGAACTGGCAACAGAAAAAGTAGAACTGCAGATGCATAGAAAAACAAAGCACATGAAATTATTGTGCATTTTAAACACAACTACCACAATTAGTTTAAAATGGTAGACTGAGCACTTGCTCCAGAGTCTTACCTGCTCCTCAAATTCCTAGAGCACCCTAAAAAACAAAAGGGTAAGTGTTCCCAGGGAACCAAAAATGACCAGGAATTTCTAAAAGACAAAAGGCAGATGACATCAGACTAAAGGTGATAATCAAATCCCCACAGAGTTTCTCCCCAAGTAAAAAAACTGATACCAAAAGTGAGTGTTGCTCTATGCACTGAAGCAGCAAAAATGTGGAGCAAAAGACTTCCCAAGTGGAAACACTAAAGCATTATTGGTTAAAATCCCTCACTAGGAACCACATAGGTCACCTCTTCTGCTGCCTTCAAGCTATGGGTAAAAGTTAATAAAGGAATTTATCCCCAAAGCATCATGAAGTTCTCCAGTATCTAGTGGTGCCTAGGAAAATCAAGAGCAAACCCTTAACTTTTTCTGGTTCTGTGCATTACCAACAACCTCTGGATACTAGCGCTAAGAGCATATGTATTATATACAATGAGGGTAGCAGCATCTTAACAAGCAAACAAAATCAGCAACAACAGAACAGCAAAAAATCATCTAAATTTGATGAAATGCAACACAGTACAAGGGAGAAAACAACTGTAATTAAATCAAGAAATACACAATTCCTACAAAAGTTAAGAGTAAATAAAAATAATTAGAATAAGTATAATAACACTAAGGCTAATAAAAAAACATGAGTCCTCAGGCAGAGATGAATCATATATTACCTCAGCGCATTTCATGAAATGTCTGAAATTCCAAAAGCTTCAAGAGGGAAAAATCATTACCCACATAAAGGAATGAGAATCAGATTTATATCAGTTTCTACTGGCAAGACATGGATGCAAGACAGTAGAGAAATAACTTCAAAGTTTTGAGAATTACTTTATATTCAGAAATTATAGGGCCATTCAGAGTGAAGTTAAAGACATTTTCCAGTATGTAAGGAGTCAAAAAGCTTACTTCTTCAAACCATATCCCTCTTTTTAGACAAGCCACTAATAACACTTAAGTGATGTAAAACAATAAACATTGTGCTATGCATAAGGATGCTATATCCTCAGGAATTTAGAAAGGCAAAGCAGAATTCTCAGCTTTAGTGTCTGCCTCATCTGGAAAGAATCAAATGGCAGGTGTTGACTTCAATAACTGGGGCTAGAGGATTTACTTCCAAGATGCTTCTTTCACTTATGTATCTGACACCTATGGGTTAAGTGAATACTGTAACTCAATGGCCCCTCCATTGGTTTGACTTTCCAAAGTAAGGGGAAGGTAGGTAGGTTATGAGGGAATGATCAGAGAAGTAACATCTAGAAAGTGAATGTTCCAAGATAACGAGTGAAAGTGGCATGACCTTTTCTAGAAGTAAGCCATTCAGCATCATCTGTGCTATATTACTGATTTCAAGCTGCTAAGTACAGCTTATATTGAAGTGGAGGGAACTTAAGATTCCATTCTTTGTGGCAAGGCCACTTTACAAGAGAGTATGAGGGATATAAGAGAATGTTCTGATCTTCTTTGTAAAATAAAATCTGCCACAGTACTAAAGGAGATACTCTGATAAATTAAAAAATGAATCCATAACATACAATGGAAATAAAGAATATTTAAAAGGCCCCCATTTAAATTCACATTAAAACTGTTAAGTATGTGAACAACATCATCAAGTAACTTCACTTATTTAACATTTGTAGAACATTCTACTCAATAATAGCATATTTACCAAAATAAGCCTTACTCTGAACTATGAAACAAGTATCAATGACTATAAGACAATTCAAATCACACAAAATGTTTCCTAACACCATTGTAACTAAATTAAGAAAAAGCAGAAAGATCTCTTGATAACTGTCACATATTTGGAAACTAAGTAACACCCTTTTAAATAACCCATATATCTCAGAAGTAACTGAAAGGGAAATTAAAGTTTTTAAGAAATGATTAAAAATGAAAGTACAACACATACAAAAACCGTGAGATGCAGTCAAGGCAGTACTTAGAGGAAAATCTGTAGCACTAAAAGTTACACTGGGGGGCGGGGGACAGCTTTAGAGCAATGACTTAAGCTTCAACCCTGAGAAACCTAAGAAACTAGAAAAGAATGAATTAAAATAAGCAAAAGAAAGGAAACAAATATTAAAGCAGGAACAATGAAATAAAAACCCAAACAAACAAAATAACAGAGAAAGTAATGAAAGCAAAGTGGGTTCCTTGGAATCATTAAAATTGATAAACCAGCAGTCAGAAAAAAAAGACATGGTATACATACACTTTTAGTGATAATAAAGGAATATTGTTTAAAGTAGGCCAATAAAATAGACAAATTCTTTGAAAAACACAAACAAAGCTGCCTCAAAGACCAGAATAACTCTTTCCAAACACATGGAATCTGCAGTTAGAAGGCTTCTCATACAGAAAGTACAGGAACAGGCAGCCCCACTGGTGAATTTGACTAAGCAATTAAGGAATATAAATTACATACAAGCTTTTCCAGTAAATTGCTCTGTGACCAGCATGACCCTTTTGCCAAAACCAAAGACATTTCAGCATCCCATCATGAATATAGATGCAGAAATCTGAAGATTGGCAAATTGAATCCAGAAATATAAAAATTACAATACTTCATGACCAAGTGAGGTCTATCTCAGCACTGCAGAGTTTAACAATTACAAATCAGTCAACATAGTTCATTATATTAAAAAACTGATAAAGGGATATGGTTAGCATAAGACACAGAAAATACACTTGAGGAAAATCCAACATTCAATCCTAATAAAAACTCTCACTAAAGAGGGAATTGAAAGAAACTTCATCAACATGACAAATGACATCTACCCCCCAAAAACCTCAGAGCTAACATTATATTTAATGATGAAAGATTGAATGTCTTCCTCTTAACATAGGAAACAAGACAAAGGAATCTACTCTTACTTCTATTCAGCATTATATTGGATGTTCTTGCTAGTGCTATTAGGTAAGAAAAATAAAAGGCTTTCAGGTTTAAAAGAAATAAAATTACAGTTATTCAAAGATAATATGATCCTCTACACAAAAAATTCAATGGATTCTAATAAGCTACTAAAACTAAAAAGTGGGTTTAGTAAGGTTTCCAGACACAAGATTAATAACAAAAACATTCAATGGATATTTAAAAAAAAATTAAGGACTAGAAAGTAATTCAATAGAAAGTATCTTTTTTAAACAGCCTTTTAAAAAATGAACTGAGGCTTGTGGATCTGTGGGAAAAAATGAAAAGACCCATCATTCATGTTACCAGAAAAATAGGAAAAATAAAGCAGGACTGAAAAAAATATCTAAGAAGAAATAATGGCTGAAATCCTTCCAAATTAGGGAAAAGATATAAACCTCCAAATGTAAGAAAGCAGTAATAACCCAATGAATCTTAGAACTGGACACATCACAAACATCTGAAAATAACAGGTAAAGAAAAACCTTGAAAGCATCAGAGAAAAATACAGAGGAAGAAAGATTCAAAGGACAAAGGATTTCATCAGAAAAAAAGGCCATAAGAAAATGGTACACTGTTTTCAAGTACTAAAAGAAAAGAACTGTCAACCAAGACAAAAGAAAGTCCAGAAATATGTCCATGTATGCACAGTCCAATAATTTCAACAAATGCATCAGGCTAGTCAATAAAGAAATAAAAGTATTTTCAACAAATGGTAGTAGACCTGGAGAAACATGAAAATATCAGCCTGAGGGCCTCCCTAAGTGGCACAAGGGGTTAAGCCACAACCTATGAAGCTAACCACAGCCACTGCACCACAAGTTCAATCCCCAGACAGGGAGTAACCCACATGGTGCAGCAGACCTCTCCTGACTCGCCCTCTTCTCCTCTCAGCAGTGTATTTCAGTCAATCTGCCTGTTCTGTTCCCCACTCTAGCTGGTGAATCCTCTCACACACACCCCCAACACACGTCTGGCCTATATCCCAGTTCTTGTGTGCGTAAAAATAATTTATTTAAAAAAAATAAAGAAAATATCAGCTTGAACCCTTTGACCCTTATTCCACAGAAACCACAAAAATTAATTGGTCATGGATCATAATAAATCTAAATGTAAAAAGTAAAACTAATAAACAAAAAAAACCCTTTAATTTCCTAAAGTAGACAAAGGTTTTTTTAATGAGGACAGATTTTGTTTAGTAACAGAAAAGGGAGAATGAATTGGTTTCATCAAATATAAAATCTGCTCATTAAGACACCAGTATAAAAAGTCACAAATCAGGGCCTCCCCTGGTGGCGCAGCGGTTGAGCGCTGGGCTGCAAGGCTGCCCGCAGCCTCTGCAGTGCCGGTTCGTTCCCCGGCCGCCAGAGAGAGTCCAACAAAAAAAAAGTCACAAATCAGGAGGTAATGTCCACTGAGAGAGAAAAAGAGAAAGAATATCTATCTATCTATCTATCTGTCTATCTATCTATCTA